GGAGCTGCTCCCCAGCAGGTCACCCCTGATCTGTGCTGGTGCCACAGGTTATTCCTGCCCAGGGCAGGACCCTGCACTTGTCCTTGTTGAACCTCATGAGGTTGCTCTGCCCAACTCTCCAGCCTGTCCAGGTCCCTCTGGACGGCAGCCCAGCCCGCTGCGCTATCAGCTACGCCTTACAGGTTGGCATCATCAGCAGACGTGCTGAGAGGGCACTCCGTCCCTTCATGTAGGTCATTGATGAGGAAAGAGAGCACGACTGGATCAAGGAYTGGCCCTTGGGGCACACCACCAGCTACAGGCCTTCAACCGGACTCAGTGTCACTGATACCACCCTCTGAGCTCTGCCATCCAGCCGGTGCTCAGTGCACCTCACCATCCAAAAGCATCACCGAGAAGCACCAGCACCGGTGGCACAGGTGACCTGGATCCTCCTGAGCCCTCCAAGGAGCTGCCTGGTCTCCCAGGGACCGACCCTGCCTTGAAGCTCTGACCTGCTGCGTGTTCCCTGGTGACACAACCTGGCACTGCTTGTCTCCCTGTCCCCTCAGCCCTTGGGCTGCTTGGGCTGGTGGCCCTTCAGCAGGYTGAGGTCTTGCCCTGGAGCTGCAAYGAGCTTCACAATCCCGCTCTGCATGGGCAGGAGATGGGGCCATGGGGACAGTGTCCATGGCAGACYGAAGCTGCTGAGATCCACATGCCGCAGTGGATCAGAGCCGCAGAGAGCTTCCCAAGGCCGTGTCTCTGCTGTGGATGAGTGYGCCTGGTCTCCTTCCATCCTGCTGCATTCTGCTGTCCTCCAAAGCAGCGGGTTGCTGCCTCCTGGTGTCATCCCTGGCCCACACCAACACCGGAACCGCGTGTGGGGATTTTCTGGAAGAAAGGTGGTTGTCCCAGGCCAAAAGGCACCGCAGGGACTATTCTGACCGGCCTGAGGACAAGGGTGGGCTCAACGTGAGGTTTTGTCCCACTGGGTGCACAAGCTGCCACCGGTCTGGGCTGTTTTCCCTGGATATGCAGGAGAGATGCTCCAGAAATAGGATGGTRGGGAGGGATCTGCCTCTGGTTGGACCGTCTGGGCTTCCCGCGCTGGAATCGCCTCTGGTCTCTTCTCCAAGGGCCACCACGGCCCACGGATCTGTTAGTCCACCCCCGCAAGCCYAGCTTTGGCGCTGGCCTGCCCGCATCCTGCAGCACCTGTGACTCAATCCCACCGTGTGGGGAACGTGTTTCCCCAGGGTCAAGACCCAGCGCCGGTGCTGGGGGAACAGCGGGGATAAACCATTGCTGGTGGAGCTGAAACGACAGATAAGCAGATATCTCTAGAAACTGCGGGGTGGCACCAGGCTGGGAGCGGGTATCTTGGGACCTCGCTGCGAGCAGCTGCTTGCGGTTGGTCTCTTCTAGTGCTTTGTAATTAGTGTGGTTGGTTTTGGTCGGTGCAATGGGTGCCCTTGGCCATGAAGATGCAGCACTGTTGGCCAATATGCCCATTTTCTTGTCCAAAACGCTGTAAGGGAACCGGCGGTGGCCAAGCAGAGTCGCATCAAAGGTCTCTGAAGGCCCCTTCTTGCTTCCTTCTTCAGCTCTAAGTGGACACCAGGGGAAGGGTGAAGAATGGGGAAATGTCCATACTATGTCCCCTGCTCCTAGGTCAACATCCAGCTCTTTTCGGCTCAGTGGATGTCCTGGGCTGGGCACTTTTTGCACCCATTTGCACCCATTTTTGCACCCATTGAGGGGTCTCTCCCGTGCAGTCACCCAGTCTCTTGGGGAACTCTTTGACCTTCCACAGCATCCCTTGGCCATGAGCCCACGGTCTTGTCAGAAGAGACAAACGAGAAGCTCTTCCTTGGGAACACCCACCTTGCACAAAGCCGCAGTGACTGACGTTAATGATATGCTTAACTCGTTAATAAACAAGGTCACAGCTTAGCTCTGCGGCTGTTGACCTAACTGGTCCGGGCGTCTGAGTCACCGCTTTGATCCATTTCAACGTGGGGTTGGTGCGTGTGGATGGGTCGGGTGGGGGAGAGGCCCGTCCATCCATCCCATGACCACAGCCCTGTCCATCCCATGACCACAACCCCATCCATCCTGCGGCCTCAACCCTGCCTGTCCTGTGGCCTCAGGGCCCGTCCATCCTGTAGCTGCAGCCAGTCTGTCCTGTGGCCTCAGGGCCATCTGTCCCGCAGCCTCAGCCCTGTCCATCCCGCAGCCTCAGCCCTGCCTGTCCTGTGGCCTCAGGGCCCGTCCCTTGTGTAGCTGCAGCCAGTCTGTCCTGTGGCCTCAGCCCCGTCCATCCCGCATCCTCAGCCCTCTCCATCCCGTATCCTCAGCCCCGTCCATCCCGCAGCCTCAGCCCCGTCCATCCCACATCCTCAGCCCCATCCATCCCGTATCCTCAGCCCCATCCATCCGGCAGCCTCAGCCCCGTCCATCCCATAGCCTCCCACCAATCCCGCATCCTCAGCCCCGTCCATCCCACAACCCTGTCCCCAGAGGATTTTTCTCCACCCTCCTCTGCTGCAGCAGAGCCAGGCTCCGGTGCCACCTCTGCCACGGGCTCGGGTGGCGCTGGTCGGGGTGACGCAAAGCGCCGCGCTACCCCCGGAGCGGGCGGCACTGCTGTAGGACGAGGCCCGCCGTGCCAACACCCTGCGCACGGGGACATTGCACAACCGGCATCTGTCACCGGCTGCTCTCTTATCATGCCAGCCGGGCGGGTGGGCGCTTGAGGAGCGGGGGCTGCCCCTGTCACTCCTGCTCATTCCCCTGAGGATGGAGCCGGTCGTGCCGCCCCCGTCCCCCCTGGTCTCGGTGCTCTGTGGTGTCCCCGCCGCTCTGTTTGTCCATCCTGCTCATTCCCCTGAGGATGGAGCCGGTCGTGCCGCCCCCGTCCCCCCTGGTCTCGGTGCTCTGCGGTGTCCCCGCCGCTCTGTCTGTCACTCCTGCTCATTCCCCTGAGGATGGAGCCGGTCGTGCCGCCCCCGTCCCCCCTGGTCTCGGTGCTCTCTCGTGTCCCCACCGCTCTGTCTGTCACTCCCGCTCAATTCCCCTGATGATGGAGCCGGTCGTGCCACCCGTTTCCCCCCTGGTCTCGGTGCTCTCTCGTGTCCCCGCCGCTCTGTCCTACCTGCACTGGCGGCTCCTGGCTGCTGCTGCCGCCGCCGCCTCGCACACAGGTTGGGCGGCCAGGGCAGCTGCTCCATTTAAATCCTTCCCTTCCCCGCCCTGGGGCCAACTCCAGGGCCCTGCCCTGTGCCCGGCTGCCTCCAATGGGGCCCGTCCTGCGCTGCTGCCAGGGCCACCCCTCGCCTCATCCCCATCCCCTCGTCCCCAACCTCTCATCCCCATCCCCTGTCCCCATCCCCATCCCCTCACCTCCTCCCCATCTCCTCATCTTCATCCCCATCCCCTCATCCCCATCCCCTCATCCCCCATCCCCTTGCCTCATCCCCATCCCCTCGTGCCCAACCTCTCATCCCCATCCACTTGTCCCCATCCCCTCGCCTCCTCCCCATCTCCTCATCTTCATCCCCATCCCCTCATCCCCCATCCCCTCATCCCCCATCCCCTTGCCTCATCCCCATCCCCTCATCCTCATCTCTTCATCCCCAACCTCTCATCTCCATCCCCTCACCTTGTCCCCATCTCCTCGCCTCATCCCCATCCCCTCATCCCCAAACTCTCATTCCCCAAACCCCTCGTCTTCATCCCCATCCTCTCATCCCCATCCTCTCACCTTATC